GTTTCTTCTGACCTCCAAACGAAGGCATCTTCTCAAGGTTCTGGCCTTTAGCATTTTTTTTTCTTCAAATCCTTCCTTGCTGGGCTTATCTCTTTTCATTGCTTCCACTTCTCATTTCATTGCAGCTGATTCTTAAATCTGTTTTTATAACATTGACCTTCATCAGCATTCAGGCCAGTATTCCCAACTGTTTATTGAATCTCTTCACCAGAGTGCCTCCTACCAGCATCTTAAATTAACCATATCCAAAACTAAAATTTTCCTCCAAATTAGCCATTTTCCCTTGACTTGGCCTATTTTTGTAAATGTCATCACTGTCTTCATTCACTTGTACTTGAAAACTTGGAATTAAATCTCTTTTACTTGCCCCCAACATTGAATCTGTTAGTTTTACTTCTTCGGTATTTCTTACATCTGACCTCAACTTTATATTCTCCCTATTAATATCATATTTCAGATTCTTATTGCTTTGACTTTTGAATTAGATTTTTAGTCCTGCTTTACCCTCCCAATATTTTCTTCCCCAAACCATCTTAGACATTATTTCCAAAAGCAAAGCCCTAAAGAGAGTTTTGATCATATCACTTGTCACTTCCTATAGAATAAAGTCTGAATTTCTTAATTTAGCATATGAGGTTGAAGCTTTTTTCGTATCTGCCAGTAACCAATTTTTCTAGTCTTTATCTCTTCCTGTTGTCCTTCATACATCCTATTCTTTAGCTGAACTCTACTATTTGTTCTTCCCCAAACATATGCTCTCTATTTTCTTGCCTCCTTACCTCTGTGCCATTTTCACTGTTTGGAATGGCTTCTTTCATCTTTTGTTCAAGATTTTACTTGTCCTCTGATGCCCAGCTCAGGTGCTTCTAACTTCTCTTTCCTCCTGGTTGAAAGTATTCTCCTTCCTTTGAACTAGTACAATATTGTGTACTTCTGTTAGAGCACTTAGTACATTCCAAGTGGATTGTATTTGTGTGTTTTCTTCTGTTGGATGGTAAGTACCTTTGACAACTTGCACTCTGTCTTATTTTATTTTTACATTTTCCATGGCTCTTAGCACAGATGCTTTAGATATCATGGACACTTAATTTTGTTTGAATTAAATTATTGAAAATTACCCAATCCACATAAAATGAAACCAGTTTTAAAAGTGAATTTATGTGTGGCTCATTTGCTACACATTTTAGAAAATTTACCAGAAAGGAATTGTGTCCAGGATACAATATTCCTTGATTTGTATGTAGCTAGTCTTTTACATTAAGGACTTCCTTAAAAATTTGAGATTCATGGAGTTTCTGTTAAGAGTCATCTTATCTTAGGATATGACTTATAATATTTCATGAACTTGATCAGATTTGTAAAAAGTAAGTATATAAGAACCTATTTTGCCCAATTAACTTAATTAGGAGTTCATTCTCTATAAGTTGGAGTATATTTTTTTGCTTCTTCCTTTTTTAGAGGACAACTTAAAGGGATGATTCCTATTAAAATCAGTTGTTGCAAGCCTATACTTTTTATGAATAGGAGATTCATCATGTTGGACATGGCCTCAAATCCTTAGACTGCTTATAAAGTATTAAGACCTGAGGAAATGGATTTCTGTTTCTCTTAAATGTTTCTAGAATCTTTTATATATTGTTTTACAATCTATATTTTTATTTATTTCAATGAGTATATTTGCTCTGGAAATTCTTGGTTTTCAAAATAAATCAAAGGTGCTAACCTGAATTGGGAGGAGCTTGAAAATTGTTCTGTTCCCTGTCTATACCTATTCAATTTCTACCAATATTTTTCTAACCCATAAGTTAATAAAGTGTTTTGCTTTATTAACTTTCAATAAATAAAATAATAAACTTTAAAGTATTTTCATGAGGTCTGGGAAATAAAGATTTTTCTTTCTTTAAATATGAGGCCTTCACTTTAATTTCCTACTGAGTTGAAGCAGCATCAACCAGAAGCCAACCTGAATTTGAGGGAGGTTTGCTGCCATTTGGATAATGTGTACTTGAAGACTTGATTGTAACTGCTTGGGAGTTTAATTACTTTGCATTAGATGGGCCTGAAAACTTTTTTAAAGAAACTATACTAGAAGCCATTTCTATTCTACAACTGGCTTGGACTCCAGAATTTTAACAAGACCCACAGTTACAGAGGTAGCATGCAGTGGTGGCAGAAGAGCTGATCTCAGATCCAGGAAGACTAGTCAAGAGTTTTGCTTCTGACAGTCTATCTTTTTGAACCTTAGCAAAACACTGAACTACTCGGTGCCTTAGCACCTTTCTAGGACTATAAATACAAAGGTAGAAAGGTGGTCTCAGTCTTCAGGGAAAGAGAAGGAATGTCCTCTTTCCCTTAGTTCCTTACAGCAATGAAATGTCATGGGTCTAGTCTCTATCCTTTACCCACATTCATGAATTATGTCCATTTGTGGGAGCTTAAGAAACAAGAGGACACACATGTATTTCCCAAATATTTTAAGTCAATTTCTGATTCGGTCTTGGAGTGCATGAAGGGTAATAGTAGGAGAGAAAGACAAGTTGAAGACTAGTCTTTAGCTGAGTACGGTCTACTGGGTAATAAATCATTTTTTAGCCAGTTAAAATCAAATACAGCAAAACACTGCTAACTGATATTTCACTAGTTTGGAGTTTGTTCTGATGACCTAGGATGTTTATTTACCTTTCAAAATAAAAGCAACGTTAAGCAGATTGTGGAAATACAATTGTGTGAAGAATGTTTCCTGGCTAGAAGGAATAGTTTTCAGACACTTGAAAAACTTTTAGATAATAGTTGCCATAGAAGCAGGCTATACTGCTGGAACTTTTTAGAATATGCTAATTAAAACATTTTTTTTTCAGTTCATTAAAGTTGTTTGCTAAAGACTCTTGCTAAATGACACCTAGTGAATTACAGATATATATATATATATATATATATACACACACACACACACACACACACACACACACATACATGTAACTTATAAATAATGAAAATAATTAAAATATATATTTTTTAAAAAAATTTCTATGGTGAAGAGAATCTTACTGCTTTATTTGTTCATGCTTCATTTAAACTTGTTCCCTTGTTCCAGTCCTTACCCTCCCAAGAAATTAGTGAAGTTTATTGTAAGGTATTTCAGTAGCCTACTGATCTAATGGTATGTTCTCTTTGAAAACAAATTTAGGACTTTGAATACATCTATTAGACTTTATTATTAGCTTATATGGTAATGAGTAGACACTTATGGAAGTTGATATGGGTTTCATACCAATATCTTTTGGCTAAATTATATTCTCCCTTGGTCACCTACTTTCAGGTTTCATTTTCAATTTTCTTTTTGATAGGGATGGAATTTTAATATTGATGGTTGTTAACTGTTTTTCTTTTCTCATTTATCTGTCAAATTTTTTACAGTGGCAGTTAAGCATTTTTTCTGATTACCATTGCTTTCTCTAAGGTCTTATTACCTCTTTCTTTGAAAAACAAAGAATTCTTAAGGCACAAGGTCATGTCAGTTTGGACTTATTTCACTCATTCGGTTAGATCATGAAATAACCATTTCTTTTCAGCTCAGAACAATTCCAATTTGGTGAGCAGAGCCAGGAGGTGGGTCTAAAAGGTGAACTGAGAGCATTATGACACCAAGTGTTATTTTGGTTGTTGCAGCCTCCCTAAGTACAGGGTAACAGAGTAAGCATTCAGTAATACTTGTGGATTGTTTGATAGTTATCAGGAGCACAGGCTTTTAGCCACTCACAGGTAAGAAACCTTTTAAATAGCAGATTGGAGAGAGACTATTTCATGTCAGATTTATTTATCCTCTTTTATTCATCTCCCAAATCCATTTCCCATAATAGAATAGTAACTAGTTGGCTAAAAAAACAAGAGCATCACAAGAATCTTCATATCCAGCACTAAATCTGGGGTTCTTCGTAGTGTTTTCTTTCTTACCGAAAGCATAACTTGACCTATTTTTCAAGGTACCAATAATAAATCCTTCAACCCCCTTAATTCTTGTCACTTATATCTCTATGACCTCCTCTCAGTTTGTGCTTGATTAGAAACTAGGACCTTTATACATTTTTCTTTTCTACTTCCCATAATAAGAGTTTTCTCTTGTATATATCTTTATTGTCTATTAATTAAATACATCTCAGTTTTATTTTCTACATTGTAATCATTAGCAATAACTTCTTTATCTTTGACGCTGTCCTGAATGCCAAATGATCACCCTGTCTTTCAGTATTCATCTTGATTCTGTACCTAATATACTCCATTCCTCCCCACCCAAACAGTTTTCTTTCTTAGCCTAAATATTAGAGAAATGCCTTTTTATCGATGCCTTTTCAGAAAGTCTTGACTAAATTTATGTTTAGTTTTGGTCAGACTCTTACAAAGGAGGGACTGAAACTTGCAGCCTGATGTTGCTTCTTTGTGTTGGTAATGACTTAAAAACTAAGGACAGATTCAGTTTCTTAGGATATTACCAAGATTTTTAGACAATTCTTATTAGTTTTGTTAACGGCCTACTCTTTGAAAGCTATCCTTTTGTCTTTGACATCAGGATTAACTGCAGTGGAACTCTCCTTTGACTTTATATATAGATGATTAACTTTCACTGTCCCTTCTGAGATAAATTCACTCTTGTTCCATATCGGTCTTTTAACCTTATACCAGTTTTCTGTCTCGTGCTGTACAGTTTGAAAGTAAACACTCAACTTTGAGACCAAGTTGATTTTCATATAGTGTATTATGGACTACAATATTAGGTCAAAAATATATTATTAGACTCAAGCCCAGTCATTTCTCAACAGTGGCCAAAGAATTTATCATTTGGTGGTAACATTTTTGGAGATTGTTAAGGCGCTAAAGAAATTATACAGAAAAGCAGCTTCTTTTTACCCTGAGAATAAGCCATTACAAACTCAAATGATGAGAGATTGTAATTTCTTAATAAGAGTTTTTTTCTTAAATCTATATTCAGCTCTCTATTTCAGTGCTTCTCCCCTACCAGAGGTGCAAGGAATGATCCTAGAACCACAGATACAGCCAAGACCACGGAGAGCTTTTGACGTCAGGGGTCCACTTTCTCCACTGAACCATTGGAGGCAGAATATCCAGCTTCTGGAGAGAGTGGGAAAGAATAATAAACAAGTGGGTGCTTTCCATTATTTACTTGGGTTTCTTTATAGATCTGAGTGTTCTTCCATTTAGATAAACCAGTGATTTCACTGGCTTCATGCAAGAACCAAATCATGTTGCAGTTGATTTTTCCAAGAGTGTTATCTATTTCTGGTTCCTGTTTCAAAAAAAGGAACTAGAATTAATTCTACCTTCCCCTCACCTCCTCCTCCCATTTATGAAAGTATTGAGTGATGGGGACAAGAATGAATGGTGAATGCATCTGTAGCTTATAGGCATTTCAAGATAGAAGCTAGGGCTATTTTAGCAATTAATTTTGTATTGGTGGACACTTTGATGTCCTGCTATGTCCCAATGGCTCAAAAAGTTTATGTTTCACTTTTGAGCACTCTGGATATCTGAATGCTTGTATTCTGCAGAACTAGATGTCCAGGTATTATTCTGTCCTGCAAGTTAGATGTGCAGGATTGAAGTTGTTACCAAATTGGTCTACATCCTACCCAAACTTGAGGATTTAATATAACTTAATTATAGGCTTCGTTCTATAATGTAAATACAAATTAATTTAAACATCAGGATATAATATCTGTTGAAGCTGATTTTAAATATACTCAAAGGTAGCTTTCCGTATCCTGAAAAATGCTACTTATGTCAAAAGAATTTTGACTTAGATTTTTCTTAGTTTTGGAAGTTCTTGTCATCTATGATGGGTAGTCCTTTGAACAAAGTGCCTTTGGCCAGTTTACATTTCTCCATGGTAGACTCCTACCGTGACTTCAGGTATCTTGATAATGGGTTAATGGGAGACTGGTTTATTTCTTCTCTAATTGACCAGATTTCTTTCAACTGGTAAACATCATACTACTTCAGCAAAAGGAATTTCTCTAGCAGAGTCTTCATGGATGATGTCTGTCACATATGCCAACACCAGCAGTTTGGAAGGCAGTGGTGAATGGACCAGTGTAAGATATCTAGAAGACACAAGGATGAGAGAATCGCCTTCTTTCCATTAAAAACTTTTAAATTTGCTTTCTGGCTTTATATGATGACCTGTTGGTGCTGGAAATGGAAAGGCTTTTACATAATGAACTAATCATTTCAGATTGGAGTTATGTTTACGTGACCATGAAAATAATTCTTTTCATTCAGAAGACTGAGCTGCAGGAAGTTCCAAACACTATTCTCTTTAAAAGCAGTTCTAGAGAATTCTCTGCACCCTTTGGTTTTAGCAGTGAACATATGGAGTACATTTTTCTGCAGTGGTATAGGGAATCTAAAGTGGATGGCCAAACTGAGATGTTCATAACAAATTGATTGCTTGCCTCATGTTTTAAAGGAATTATGAAGATAGAGGAGCGAGCTTAATTTTCTACCTGTATCTTATTTATAGTTAGTATAGGGAACTATTGTGATCTGAAATCCTAACTGTTTTCTAATCTTGGGCCTTACCACCATCACATTGATTAAATTTATCTACAAAAATTCCAATTTAGTAGTAGAAGAGGCTGTACTGTGAGTATATTCTTAGTCCAACTTGGTCTGTCTTCTAATGTGGTATATACCGTTTTAACTTGAGGTATGGTGCTGCAAGAAGGCGTGCCTAACTGGGATGCACACTTCGATTTCAGAAAGCTCAGAGGCAACTTTTTCAGAGTTATGTGATGGAGATTTGTTAAACATTAGTTACTCTAAACTCATTAATGAGGGGAAGTGCTTATTTGGATGTTGATATATGAATTACTTATATTTGATTAAAGTGCAGCATTGCACTTTTTTAAAATTGAAAATGTAGTTCCAGAGTTGTTAAGATTAATGTGGAAGATTTTGCTGCTGGTTCCCATCCACCCTTCCCTTTTCCCTTGCCCCAAATTTCCAAATTCCTTTAAATTTTTATTTTTATTATAAAGAAATTATTATTTAAATAATTCCTTAATAGAGGAAGATGTGTAAAAGATACTCACACTTAGCTTTGAACAGAATTATCTTTGAAGGGGTTTGAATTCCCGTAAATGTACCATTTCAATTTATTCCTAATTTTATTTCCTAAATACAGACTAAAATGATTTGATAGTACTCAATAATTTTATAGAAATAAAAATTTAAAAGTTCAGGAAACAAAATCATTTTCTTGAAAATTGAGTTTAACTCCATAAACCATGGCACAAACCAAAACCAACTTTTAATTTGAGACATTATATTTTTATTGTTGGTTGGTTATTGCAGTTTTAGAGATGAACAGTAATTTAGTCTCTTAATTTCTTGCATTAAATCCCAGTAATTCCTTGGTTTATTTTTTTAAAAGTGCCTGCCTCTATAGCTAGTGCCTAAAAAGATTTTTAAAAATTAAACTTGTATTTTTATGTGAATTTGCCTAAACTTGTTTGCCTAAACTTAACATTTTCTTGACAAATTTTTGAATGTCTGGTATTTAAGACAATAGATTGTATATAGTACTATATTTTTCAGTGTTTTTTTTTAATATGACCATCAAGACAAAGCTAATATTTTTCTTAGTGTGGCTAATATTTTTTGAATATTTGTACATATGATTACTTTATGTAAATAAATGTTTTCTGCATGAAAAATGTGCTTATTTATAAATGACTTATTTGTATTTCAGGAATAGACATTGAAAATGACAGTTTAAAAATGAATTAAAATTTTGTATTTTCTCTAGACATTTCTGAATATAATATACTATACTTGATTTATTTTTGTTCATTTGGAGGGTGTTCTGTTAAAAGTGGAATGGATTTAAATGAAAGTTGTTATTTGCACAGTTAATGTGTGCGAAATAAGTAATTTTATTTAGTCTGCTTGTCTAAATTTTTAAATTAGCTCAATATTTGCTATTTGTCTTCAGAATAATTTATTTTGAAGATATTTTTTTCATCAGAAAATGAGATTCATTTTGGTACATAGCAAATAAACATTCCAAAATATGGCTTTTTTTAGCCTTCAGTGGCAATCTATAAACATTGTTGAAAATTTAAATTTCTCTGTGAATCTCTGTAGTATGACATAATTTAAATGTCATTACTTAAAAGCTGGACAGATTAAAACAGTTGGAAAAAAATCCTGAAATTTGAAAATGGTAGCCTGTGTTGAGAATCAGATTTGCTCACAAATGACAAAAATTATTGAAGGGGAGAGTGTTATATTTTAGACTCTGCCTCAACTTATTGATGTGGAAAGAGAAATCTCACTATTAATTAACTCTTGGTGGTTAGTAACAGCCCCAAAGTCTTGCTTATGTTCAAATGAGTTAACATGTGCTTTGCAAATCTTAAAGCACTATATCCATGTGTGTTTTTATCATCATCATCATCATTATTGTTAGTATACTCAAGTGAGAGGCAACATGAGAAAGGAGAATATTTCGTGTTAAATAAGGGTTAGGTCTTTTTGGAGACGTCAACTTAATTGGATCAAATGGAAGAATTTACCTTTTCTGTGCAGAGTCCGCTAGAAGCACATCTCTGGGATATGAAGAGGAATTTCATCAGAAATGGACTATGCAGATTCAGGATAAGATTGAGATGGAGTTTTAGGCAAGAAATTTCAAGTTAAATTAATACTTTTCCTGGTGGGGCCCAAAATAAATTACATTGGCCTGAAATTAAATAATGTTCTTATGAGTGGAATAAAATTTTTTAAAAATATATTTATATGAATATAATATGACCAGTAATAATTGTACTGAATGTTTTCAGGCTTATTGCTGTTGGGTGGCTTCTTTCTGGTAAGTGTGTTGGTTACAGGGTAGTAAAGATGGTGCAGGTTGATCGCATTTTTGGAATGAGACTTTAAAGAATTCTTAATAAAACTGAGCTCTGTAGCATCTACATACTTTATACCAAAGGGTATGGTAAGTTTTTGCTTATTAATAAAGGAAAACAAATGCCAGCTTAAATTTTGAAATTGCTTTTTAACCAAATATAGCATTAATCTTGACTATGCCCATAAAATCATTTTTGTTTATTATGATAATGGAGGCATCAAAACTTAACTTTGGGCAGAAGCAGTTGGCATGACCTAATTACTGTTAATATGTATTGCCATGTATTAAAAGAAAAAATTCGGTGGCCTAATATGTATTCTGTTTATTGGCACAATGAAAAAATCTTTTGCTTCTTTTAATACTTAACCATAAATGGGGCAGCTAGGTGGTTGCAGTGGTTAGACCACTAGCCCCTGAAGTCAGGAGGACCTGAGTTCAAGTTCAATCTCAGACACTTAACTAGCTGTGTGACCCTGATTGCCTCCAAAAAACCCCACTTAGAAGTTGAAAAGAATTCAATGCTAAATTGAACTGGTAGCCATTCTGTTCAGAAGGTCTAGTTTTAAGACAGTGAGGAATAGAGGGTAGAATTATTCTAAGCTAAACCTTATAGAATACTAATGTTGGCTTAATTTTATATCCTCGAGGCATAGTCTTGGGCAAAATATACTTGTAACTTGGTTAACTACAGTGTGATTTTTTTCCCCTTATTATCATAATGTCCGCCCTATTCTCACTAAAATGAGGTTGAATACTGTTTAAAAAAAATCTTCTGATATTGAAACCAATTTGATATTTGTATATTCTCACAAAAGGAAGACTAATGCATGTGATGACTATAAAATAATGAAATAGATTTTTTTTTTAACAAAATTAATCTCATTGCTTTAATACTGTTAGACACTGTATCAAATACAGGTTACATATTTTCTAAACTTCTTTTGAAGGCAGTATAATAGAGTAAGGGAAATGGCAAAACTATTTTTTTATTTAAGCCTGTGATTTTATTGTGAGAACTACCTGTGCCATTGAGGAATTTGTATATAATTTTTAGCTAGTATTGCCCTGAAGCAATACTTAAGCCCTAGTTTTCCCAACTCTTAGGCAGGCCCTATGTCTGCTATGCCACGCTGCCAAAATTTTAAGTTGTCAAATTATGGTTTCTTTACTTTCTTCTCTGCTTAGATAATACCTTCATTTACAAGGTGCAGTTTTCATAGTTAACTATGGGAAAATTAACATTTTAAAATAAGTGTCTATTCCTGAAATTGGAATGATTCTAATTTTTTTAATTTAGACACATAGGTGTCTAATAATTACTTTTTTTAAAAAATAAATACCTTTGTATTCAAGATCCTTGTGAGGAAATCATTTATAATAAAAAGACAGAAAACTTTTTTAAAGGGTAAATGAAGTTTTCAGAATTGTTTTTAGGAATTCTATTCAAAAGTATCCCTGAAAGAGTTAGGGAAAAGGCAGCCAGGTATTAAAAGTTGATTTGAAATGATTGATTTTTTTTTTAAACAAAAATTGACCTTTCATTTTGATTTTTTTAAAAACTTATACAATTTGTGTTGTCTAATTAATTTGCCTAATTAAACAGTCAACTTTTGGTCATTGGTTCAAATGAATGGAAAAGATAAGTAAACAATTCGAAAATGATTATGCAATTTTGGAATGCATTCACAGATCTCATACACAGAGATACTGGTACTGCTTCTTTATATTTCAACTAGAGTATCTCAGGGAGGGCCTACTATCTGGTCCCAGCTGGTTAGTAGATTGGGGAAAGCCTTCTATCAGTGACAATAATTCATCTTCAGAGTAACAAGAGTTAACTACTACGAAAACTTTAATAAGAGAAGATTTATTCATGTTAATTTTTCTCTTGTTAAATGACACTGAGTATTCATTGACCACGTGGCCCAGAAAGTTAAGTTATTGTTTCAGTTTGAGTAGATATTCCTATTTATGTTATTAGACTTGTATAGAATATATAAAACATAATTACTAAATCTAGTGATCTTGTTTTGTTCTGAGTTCATGATGTTTTTCACATATTAGTTATTTATCTTCAGACATGTTCAGATGGAAGAACAAAGGAAATAATATTTTGATATATTTTATAGGCAAAACTGAAACAGATTCATATTGTTGTACTGTATTAAATGATAAAGATATGAATGGATCATTTGATTAGTATTGTATTTTAACTGATTCTCTGAGGAATTCAGTTAAGTTAAAGGGCTTTTGTTCTATAGCATGACAGATATTGTCTAATTTCCAGAATGAAAGGATACTAATCTGAAAAGTGAGTTACTCTTTGGTTATTGAAGATTCTCTTGCTGGTGTACCTCACTTGGCAGCAAGGTAGCAGAAGTAGTGGAGAGGGTTGGACTTGGAATCAGATCTGAGTCCTAATCCTGCCTCAGATACTTATTAGCAGTATGACCCTTGAAAAATCAGCCTTCTTTTACTCTTCTGTAAAATAGGGATCATGATACTACCCCTGTCATAGGTTTGTTGGGAGGATTAACTGGGATAACCTGTAAAGCCCTTTCTTTGCAAACTTTGAAGTGCTATAGAAATGCCAGTTATTAGTCATGTATGCCTAAGTGAGTGGTGAATTAATGGATTAATTTAATACTACTGAAATGTTGGATAAAAAGTGAATTTTCATAAATTGAATCCCATTTTGCCATTGATTTATTATTATCATTTTAGAGATATCATGTCTTTGTTTCTGAACAAACTTTGATTGTCAGGGATATCCAATATTTAAAATATTTAAAAATTTTAAATTTCACTTTATCATATTGCATCAACATCTGGCCTCTGCTATATAATTTTTTGTAAACAAATATTTTATTAAAGGAATCCTTAACTCAGAATCTATGAACTTAATTAGAATTGATAACTATACTTCATAATTGGTTTCATTTGTAATCCTAAGTGTTTTATTTTAAAACCATTCTGAGAATGGGTTTGTAAGTTTTTACCAGACTTCCAAAGGGTTCCATGATACACAAAAAGCTAAAAGCCTCTGCTTTTGTGGAATATGGGTATATATAAATGTATGAGTCATTTGTGAATTCTTACTTTATGTCAGTTTCTATTTAATCATATATACAATACAGTATGTTTGATTTTTTTCATTATAGTTTGATTTGGAAGGGTCATGAAAGAACATTTTATTCAGCCTACCTATATGTAGTAACCTATATTCTGCAGCAGAGGTGTCAGACACGTGACCCATACATGGCAGGCATACAGTGCAGCCTGAATCAGATTAAAATATAATTGGGAAATACTTAACAAAATAAATAAAAATACAACAAAAAGTAGATAATATCATATTAAAACTAAGGCAATATGTGATATTCAGAGGTCCTTGTATATGAATTAGTGATCTCCTTTCTGAGTATGGCATTACTGTTCTATAGCAACCACGAATTAGGCATTTATCTAGCTTCTTCTTAAATAGCTGCAGTGAGGATCAGATCCCTAGTTAATTAGGGAGTCCCCTGTTTTTAGACATTGAATTATGTTGTGGAAGAGCCAGAAGGGTACTTGTCATCTAGTCTAACACACCTTTCCTTCTTCCTACAACTCCATTTTACAGATAAAGATACTGAGGCCTTGGGGTGTGAGGAGATTAAGTGATGTGACTAATGTAAAAATTACCAAGTGGCAGAGCTGAAAACTTGAACCCAAGTCACTGACT